CTTGAGTGAAAGCTTGGAGGCCATGGACAACCCACCAGTCTGCTCCAGTCCCAGGTCCCCACAGATCTGTAACATGTGTGGGCATCACATTAGGTTGTGGACACCCCCCTCCTTGGTCCATGGTCTGTGACATCACTGCAACATATATAAATACAATGGGCTGTCTTACCGGGGCAGCCCATTCAAAAAAGAGGGACTTAGGGTTTTTCTTGGCCTCACTATATATATATATATATATATATATATACACGCACCTTCCCAGGCACTGCACAGTGCCTGAACCCCCCTGCTGGTAGGACAAGGTAGTGAATCTGAAACATTTTCCACTACCCTGTTCCACCAGCAGGGGATTCAGGTACTGTGCAGCACCTGGAACTGTGAGGCAGGCATGCTGCGGGATTTGAACTCAGGTCTCCAGCAGACCAATCACAGCTCTTACCCACTGAGCTATCACTGCTTCACACTCATCTATCTGCTCGTCCTCCTATTTCACCATGTATGGGGAGAAAAAGGGGAAAAAAAAAAAAAGTATAAGTCCCAACAGGCAAAAAAAAAGATATAAAAACTAAAAAAGGCCTACTAAGTAAAACAGGAAAATATTCTAGGTGCCACCAGGCTAAAAAAAAGATCAACCAAAAAAGGCCTACTAGATAAAATAGAAGAAAAATATTCTAAGTACCACCAGACAACAAAAAAAAGATAAAAAAAAACAAAAAAGTTCCCAGCAGGTGAATAGAGGAAAAATGTTCTACTTGCCATCAGACATGAAAGAAAAAAACAAAAAAAGGCCTACTAGGTAAAACAAAGGAAAAATATTCTAGATACCACCAGGCAAAAAAAAAAAAAATAAAAACAAAATGTTCCCAGCAGGTAAAATAGAGGAAAAATATTCTAGGTGGCACCAGGCAAAAAAAATAAAAATAACAAAAAAAAAAGCCTACTAGGTAAAACAGAAAAAAAATAGTCTAGGTACCATCAGGAAAAAAAAAAAAAAAAAGTTCCCAGCAGGTAAAATAGAGGAAAAATATTCTAGGTGCCACCAGGCAAAAAAGGATAAAAAGATAAAAAATAAAAAAAAAAAGTTCCCAGCAGGTAAAATAGAGGAAAAATAGTCTAAGACTGATTAGTTAAAATAGCTGAAATTAGCTGAACCAGTGAAAATAGATGAAAAAAAAAATGATAAGCCCCATTTTTGGAAGGAAGGATTGTAAAGCGTAAACTGTTGGCGATATATAAATCCTGTAATAGTAATCGCAGGACAGCCATTGTTGGTATCTCAGGGTGCGGCTGTAGAGAACGTCTCCTATGCAGGAAGGTAAGTTCCAGCTGCTCCAAGGAATAATGTATCACTGTCTATCAGCCAGCAGAGGGCGCTGTGGTACCATCATCCACACATCCATGGCACTCCTCTGGCACAATGTGACATAAATGATCCTTTTTCAGGCCAATCGTGGGCAGCAGAGGGAGGAGAGTCTACCGCCGGCATAGGGGTAACCTCTTCCTACGTAAGCTTTGTTCACCGTATGCGCTGAATGTAGCGCCACCAGCAGGATAAATAGAGATTGCTGTATGGGAGAGACACCATAGAACCAAAGTGGCTCAGGAAATGCGGCTCTCCTTATAACGACAAAAGGGACAAAAAGGAAAAAGTAAGATATTGTCAAGAAAGTTTTGGATCCTTGTGGTCTCGGTTTTGTTTGATTACCATTTCTGTTTATTACGGGATCTGCTTATCCACATCATTCTATTTATTCTAGATGGTAAGCTCCCAGGATCAGGGCCCTCCTATCCCTCTTGTATTAAACTGTATTGTTGCTGTATTGTCTCCCATTATATTGTAAAGAGCTGAGCAAACTGTTGGCGCCATAAATCCTGTATAATAATAATATATAAATCCTGTATAATAATAATAATAATATATAAATCCTGTATAATAATAATATATAAATCCTGTATAATAATAATAATATATAAATCCTGTATAATAATAATATATAAATCCTGTATAATAATAATAATAATATATAAATCCTGTATAATAATAATATATAAATCCTGTATAATAATAATAATATATAAATCCTGTATAATAATAATAATAATAATAATATATAAATCCTGTATAATAATAATAATAATATATATAAATCCTGTATAATAATAATATATAAAATCCTGTATAATAATAATAATATATAAATCCTGTATAATAATAATATATAAATCCTGTATAATAATAATAATAATATATAAATCCTGTATAATTATAATATATAAATCCTGTATAATTATAATATATAAATCCTGTATAATAATAATAATATATAAATCCTGTATAATAATAATATATAAATCCTGTATAATAATAATAATATAAATCCTGTATAATAATAATAATAATATAAATCCTGTATAATAATAATAATATAAATCCTGTATAATAATAATATATAAATCCTGTATAATAATAATAATATATATAAATCCTGTATAATAATAATAATAATATAAATCCTGTATAATAATATATAAATCCTGTATAATAATAATAATAATTTATGTGTAATCCTACTGTTGGAGTGATGTCATTGTGGATTCCGGAAGTACTGTTCCATTTTCTCTATTATCTTGACAATAAAAGTTGTTTGGATTAATTAAAAAAAAAAAAGACAAAAGGGACGGGTGCGAAGGACAGTTCTCTATGGAGTGGAGAGGGATTGGAAGACCGGTCAGTTCTTATTCCGAGGGATTCTCCCTCTCTGCTATTATTGAAAGTAAAAGAAAATCCCAGCTGTTGAACAGAAAGTGAGGGGAATCTTCCAATGGGGACACTAATTCTGGTGACAATCAGGGATTCCCTCACTTGGGGGGGGGGGGGGGGGGGCTTCCTCTCACTTCCTGTTTTGGCTGTGGGACAGGAAGTGAAGGGAAATCTCCCCAGATGGGAAAAAAAAAAACAGACAGAGGTTATAGCTCTACCATACTGTATCTCACACGTGGTGAAGCCAAGATTCACCCTCTCTATTGGTGACCATTGTCTCCAGTACAGGAAGTGACGGCAAATCCAAACTTTTAGAGTTGTCTCAGGAACAGGCGGTGAAGGTAAATCTTCCAGTATAATATCTAGATGCAAAATCTTGAGTGTGTGATCCACATTCCCTGTATCATCATAAGTAGGGATGCACTGATTGGTGAGTACGAGGACCGATACTTTTGGTCGAGTACTCGCTGACACCGAGGACCGATACTTTTGGTCGAGTACTCGCTGACACCGAGGACCGATACTTTTGGTCGAGTACTCGCTGATACCGAGGACCGATACTTTTGATCGAGTACTCGCTGATACCGAGTACCGATACTTTTGGTCGAGTACTCGCTGACACCGAGGACCGATACTTTTGGTCGAGTACTCGCTGATACCGAGTACCGATACTTTTGGTCGAGTACTCACTGATACCGAGTACCGATACTTTTGGTGGAGTACTCGCTGATACCGAGTACCGATACTTTTGGTCGAGTACTCGCTGATACCGAGGACCGATACTTTTGGTTGAGTACTCGCTGATACCGAGGACCGATACTTTGCGGTGCAATTTGCATCCATACATTTTATATGAATGCAAAGAACAGCATTGCGATTTGGACAGGAATGCGATTTCTGTCCAAATCGCATGCGGTTTCCCCACTGCTCCTGTGTGAACCCGGGCTTGTCATTGATTTCACACATGCGACCTCCCTGCACCGATCGCATACTGAGCGGAGGGTGGGAGAGAAGGGCGAGCGGGGATGTATACACTGGTGTCATTCACTGGAGGATTGAGGCAGATACTCCGGATTCTCAGCTGTAGGAGAGGAGAGAAAGCCGCAGAATTTGAAATCCCTACAGCTTTCACTCTTTTCCTTGCAGGGATGACAGTACAGGCTAAGTGACTCTTGATTGGTCAGCACCATGAATACACCGAGTTCACTATGTGAACCACTGATGCAAATTGCGCTACTTCATCTGAATGCCCAGCATAGGATCTCAAAGCTGCTGGTCAGTGCGAATTTGCATGCGGCTTGCAGACATCTGTGCGATTTCATGCACAGATCTCAATGCAAGTCGCACATGAAACTGGCAAAAATAATGCAGGAACCTTTTTTAAAAATCAGTGCAAGTCGAAGTTGCACCGATTTGAATGAATGCAGAGGCATAAATAAGGTGGGTCATGTGATTTTGAACTGTCAAATCGCACGACAGATCGCATTGGTGTGAACGGAGGCTAAAGGAGAAGTACAGCCAAAGCTCATTCAGCTGTGGATCACAGGAGTACAGTTCATTCTGCATTCCTGTGACCCGATTTCAGCCGACGACAGGCTAAAGTCCGCTGTCGGCGAACGTCACTCAGCCAGTCCAGGCTGGGGAAACATCCCAACCATATGGTTAGGATCCACCCAGGAGCTGGACCGATACCCGGCTCAGCCTCTCCAGAGAGCCAGAGCCAGCCGCTTCCTCCCCCTCTCTACAGCCCAGAGCTTCAGTGAGCGCTGGCTGACAGACAGTCCCGCTTTCTACTCAGAGCGGTGAGGAGAACTGAGCGATCAATGATGTCTGATCGCTCAGTTCTCACACTTAGAGCCAGCGGGGGGCAGATGCAGCATTGGATCGACACTGCATCCACCTAGGCAAATGTGATTTTAAAAACAAAAAACAAGCTTCTCTTTTTAAAAAGGTTAAAAACACCAGCCTTTAGAACCACTTTACGCTTTGACTGGAGTACACCTTTTATGTTCTGTAAGTGCAGACTTGGATCACAGAACAAGCACCCATCAGATTGTCACTTTACAAATCTCAGACACTTTTGTAAGAACTGAACTTTTTTTTTTTATATATAAAAAAACTTACAGAACACACAACTGACCACCATTTCTCAGTGTCTGACTGCAACAGAAAACAGAGGTACTTGACAAGTAGTTTCATGTCTTGTCTGGAAATGGCTCACACTACCCAGACTCAGAGATCACAAGAAATCATCATTGACGTCGTCATCATCATTGTCATCATCATCCCTTGCCAGAGCTTCGATATTGTGAGTGATGTCTGTGATCATGCGGTTGAAGGAGTGGGAGGGCGAGCTTGGCGAGCAGCTGTCGTAGTTCCGCACCGCCGAAGCGGACGTGTTGCTCATGCTGCGCTTTATCCTCCCGAAACTGTCTGTCAGAATTCCTCCATCCCTTATCCCGATGCTCTCCAGGAAACCTTCGAAGTAGCCGATGTCCATGTCAGGGATGAACGGTCTGAGGCCTGGGAAGAAACAACAACCGCTAATGTGATGTCAACATAACATCTGCTCCTGTCTGAGGGAGAATGAAATGCCACAAATCTGACCAAATCTTGCTTTGGAGGCCAAAAAGAGTAATCAGGCCTGATCAGGGGCGGACTGACAACTCGTGGGGCTCCCGGGCAATAGGGGATCATGGAGCCCCTGTGTCCTTTCCCAAACTCAAAAAAGCCTATGAAAAAGGTACCAGGGGCATCTCATGGGGCCCCTTACTGACCCCGGGCCCTCGGGCAGTGCCCGAGTTTCCAAATGGTCAGTCCGCCCCTGGGCCTCATCCAACCGCCCACAGGGATGTCTGTCAGGAATTTATCGCATGAATATGTACCTGTATGTATACAAGTTTTGGGCAATATTTAGACATTTTGCCAAGGCACCCCTGAAGAAACCTCAAGGCACCCCAGGGTGCCTGGGCACCTTTATTGAGAAAGGCTGCTCTAGACTATTCTCAAGGTCATTCCTTCAGGTGGACCTGTCAGCAAAAATTAAACTAGATCCCATCTCTCTCCTCCCCTTCCCACCTTACTAAATATCTGACAGTGCATTTTGTTTTCCTTTCATATATTGGAAATTCCTGATTTTTGCATTGTTGAGTTCATTTCCTTATTCCTAATCTACGCATGGTAAGGGTATGGAGAACCTGACAGAGTCACCGATCAATTGCTCCTCATATTCAGTGCCGGGTGTCACAAATAGCACCCACTTTGTGGTCTCCTCACTGGCTGAACCTTCAAAGTATAGCTCAGTTGCCTGAATCCTGCAGTGTTTCAGCCAGCAAGGGTGCATCCCTGCAGCATTAGGGCATGACCTGGTGTTGATGCCACACACACTCCTGGATCATTCTACCACCTCTGAGAACCCCGAAGTTATGACCAGGGGCAGCCAACCTGACAAAATCTCTTTCCACGAACCTCTACCCATTGGCAGGATTCTTCCCACACCATACAGATTTCCAATGGTGCCAACTTGCCCTGAAACCTAAAATCTGGTGCTTTTGGGTGTAGGCTACAGTAATGGAGAACCCCAGGAACTCGCTGAAACTCAGAAAAGGGTTTTTACCTTCAAGTGCTGCTTAGAACCCTTCTGAGAAACCATGAAAATAGTCTAGACCAGCCTTTCTCAACAAAGGTGCCCAGGCACCCTGGGGTGCCTTGAGGTTTCTTCAGGGGTGCCTTGGAAAAATGTCTAAAAATTGCCCAAAATTTGTACGCAGTGCATTACATCTTTATTGTACATTTACATTAGTCTCTGCCTTCAAGGAGCATACAGTCTAAGGCAGCCTTTCTCAACCAGGGTGTCCAGGCTCCCTGGGGTACCTTAAGGTTTCTTCTGGGGTGCCTTGGCAAAATGTCTAAAAATTGCCCAAAAACATGTATACAAGCCAGGGGGTGGAACAAGGCTTGCCTTTTACTTACACAAAGCCACAGGTTTTCATTGTGCGCCATTACGACCTTCTAGTTGCTGGCGGCCTGACAACCAATGACATCATCATTTGATAAGGAGGTTGTCAGCCGCCTGCACAGCATCTTCCCTTCCCCTCTCCGTCAGTGCTGGGGTCACATTAGCTCAGTGATGGAGAACTGAGGGAGAAGAGAAACATTGGGCGATACCATTTCAATTCCCAAAACGCATCTGAAATCGCAGCAGTGTGAACCAGCCCTTAGAAACCTTAGACCAGTGTTTCTCAACCTTTTTTCAGTTTATGGAAGATTATGGGCACCTTTGTTATGAACCCCGAGGCACCTTTGAAAATTATGAACAGTCCCGAGGCACCCTTGAAAATTATGGACAGTCCCGAGGAACCCTTGAAAATTATGAACAGTCCCGAGGCACCCTTGAAAATTATGGACAGTCTCGAGGCACCCTTGAAAATTATGGACAGTCTCGAGGCACCCTTGAAAATTATGGACAGTCTCGAGGCACCCTTGAAAATTATGGACAGTCTCGAGGAAAATTATGGACACCCTTGAAAATTGAAAATCATGGACAGTTCCAAGGCACCCCATTCTAAAAAGAGAAAAACTATTCTAATAGTTTTATATAACGCAGCAACATCCACACATGTAGGACTCCCAACATTAGAGGGGATTTATTCTTCCAAAGCAAATACACTTTTGCACACTGGTACTGACTAGTATTCCAGTGTTTCTCCTCTCCCTCAGTTTTTCTCCATCATTAAGCTAGTGTAACGCCAGCCACTGATGGAGGGGCAGGGAAGGGTCAAACTAGGATGCAGTGCAGGCAGCAGACATACTTCTTATCAACTGATGTTATTAGTTGTCAGGACGCTGGCGGTTAGAAGGTCGTAATGGTGCACAATGAATACCTGTGGCTTTGTGTAACTAAAAGGCGGGCTTGTTCCACCCGCTGGCTTGTATACAATTTTTGGGATATTTTGCCAAGGCACCCCTGAAGGAACCTCAAAGCACCCCTAAAGAAACCCCAAGGCACCCCAGAAGAAACCTCAAGGCACCCCTGAAGAAACCTCAAGGCACCCCTGAAGAAACCTCAAGGCACTCCTGAAGAAACCTCAAGGCACCCCAGACGAAACCTCAAGGCACCCCTGAAGAAACCTCAAGGCACCCCTGAAGAAACCTCAAGGCACTCCTGAAGAAACCTCAAGGCACCCCTGAACGAAACCTCAAGGCACCCCTGAAGGAACCTCAAGGCACCCCAGAGTGCCTGGGCACCCTGGTTGAGAAAGGCTGCCTTAGATTGTACGCTCCTTGAAGGCAGAGACTGATGTGAATGTACAATATATATGTAAAGCTCTGCGTACATTGATGGCGCTATATAAGTACCTGTAATATAGAAATAAATATGGTCTTACAGCATTAATTGTCTATATTTTTATGCAGAAACATTTTAAACCCCCTGGCTGCGAAGTCCCAGCATAAGGAAGGCATCGCTACTTCGATGTTACAGCTGTGATTCATACCAAGCAGAAGGAACTTTCTGTTTTCTCCGTACAGATGCAGCAGCTCCCGGCAGTAGTCCTTCACATCCATCCCAAGGCGATATTCACGCAGGAGACACGCAAAGCGATAGATCTCCACAGGGGCCAACTTGTTTCTCAACTAGAAAGATAAAAAGTTCCAAAATGACTACACAGCAGTGGACAGAACTACTCATCCTCAGAGAGGGCCGCCTCTTATGCTGCAGCTGCCGGCCAATGAAAACAATGCCCGCTGAGACTTGCAGTTCCCCGCCAGCAGTGGGAAAGCAACGCTTGACTATGGGCATGATATCAATCTGAAATTCCAGTTTTGCGTAATAAAAACTGAAATAAAGATTAAAGGGCTAGTTCACATTGGATGCAGTCCAGTGCATTTTTTTTTCTGCATCAAAAACGCATGCACAGTGTTTTCCATGTATTGCAATGGCCCTCGCTCACACCAGTGCAGCCAGTTTCTGGTGCAGTAAAAAAAGCAGAGCATTCTGCATTTTTTCTGCACAGAACCGTACTGGAACGCAGCAAACCGCATCAAAACTGCACCAGAGCTGCGTGTGATGTGAACTGTAAGCAAAAACGTATCCGGAATGTATTTTTGTGGTGTGAACTGGCCCATAGACCAAAGAAAAAAAAACAAATGCGAATGCTCTTTGTATTCTCACAGTGATCATGTAATCCTGCAGCTGCTCCAGGGGCACTCCACTCTGATCGCCGTCGCTGGCGCCTGATGCCAGACTCTGCTCAGACATTGCGAAGGAAGGAGACGACTCGCCGCTGTAATGCGCTTCGAATGTGTCGTGAGAGCCATTACTGAGAGGAGAAAGAAGAGATCTGTAATTGTCAGAACGAATGAGTTCCTCTTATAGAGAAGCTAAGTGTGCTTCTGCATTATTAAGTGCTGATCACTGTACGAGCGCCAGGCTTTATTGGAATGTAGGAAAAAGAATGGATTGCCTTTGCTGTGCCGGAGGATTCATTCTCAGCACCCGAGCCGGCACAGCGCTCACTCCTAATACTGGTATACAGACGTGTGGGCATGGTGTCGGAGCTAAAGATGGAGGAGGGTGTCTGTTTTCTTCAAGCCTTCCTGCTCCAGATCCCACTTCCCCCATCTACAGTATTGCACTTACCCTTTGTGGCATTATGTTCGCAGAAGGCTTTACCCCCCCGGTTCATATCTACGGCGGTGCGGGCCGTGTTTTGCACGGGCACGAGAGCCCATTCATTTGAACGGACTCCCGTGCCCCGTGACACGCAGGGAAGAAGTCCCGACACTTCTTTGGAAAACGCAGCCGAGGTTCCCAGGACGGTTGTGTTTTCCAGTGCGGGCGGCGTGCCATTAGAACTAATGATCACCACCCGCGGGTCCGCAATTCTCTGTGCGGGTGGTGCGGCTGCACGGATTTTCATGCGGATCCGCAGCGGCACCACCCACACAGATGTGATCCTAGGGTCATTCATGTAGAGTCCAGGACCAGGCCGCTATAATGCTTTACAACTAAAAGTACTGTTACCTTTTAGGGCCGGTACACACTTCCGGATGCGTTTCCGCATGCGCGTTTTTGACGCGGTTCAGTACGTTTTTTTTGCATTCCAGTTCATTTTTTCCCTTCTCTTTTTCTTCAATTTAAATAGGAACATGTGCATTCCTGTGCGTTTTTGGCGCATTACGCTGCATTTTTGGTGCATTACGCTGCATTTTTGGTGCTCTGTTCCAGTACAGTTCTGTGCAGAAAAAAATGCACCCTGTTCTCCTTTTATTTCTGCACTGGAACGGCAAGCACTGATGTGAACTATGGCATTGACTGCCATATCACCTACTTTCTGTGCGTTTTGGACGCAGAAAAAAAAAGCAACTGAAACGCATGGAGTGTGAACTGGCCCTTAAACAGACAAATTAAAAAAGGGCTCTTGCTTAAAATGTTATTACAGGGCCTCAAATATGAACTGTCTGCGTTGCTCCCACTTCCAGTCACACTCTCAGATTTCTATTACAAGTTGCACTTTCTCACCGACCAATAGGAAGATCTGGAAGGGAGTGGGACCAAGTGCGACCCAGTGTTCTCCCAGATCTTCCTATTGGTCTGTAAGCTAACCATATTCTGGTCACAAATTTCTATGATCGGGCAGATGGGAGTTGTCTTGTTAACAATAACAACCACTCATTTCAATGGCTTCTTCAGTTTGATTGTAAACCTCAGACACGAAATATGAACAAAGCATATCCCTCTATAGTTTGTACTTGTCTCACTCCAGAGCACTAAGTGTAATTTCTGGCCGCTGCCTCTTTCCTTTGCTATCTACACAAGTCGTCTCTGGCAAGCTTTCCTGACACCAAGTCAAAAAAGGTGACACAGGAGGGACCTCCAGCAGATTGATAGTCTGTGTGAAGGGGGTGTGTCCCTTCCCTCCAATCAGCTCTCAGAGCTCTCCTCACTGAGCATAACTTCAGCTCCCCGCCCTCTGCTCATCAAAGTAAGTCACCAGTCACACCGCTGCAATTTAAAATTGTGCGATTTGAGGTGCAATTTCTGAAGACTTTATTGTGACTTGTGAAGATTTTAAAAAATTTCTTGCGATTTCCATTCTATTCTGTGTATGTGAAATCGCAACAAAACTGCAGAAAAGGTAATACAAGAACTACAGGAGAAATCACGCTGCAGCAAATCGCACAGGTTAAGACACTGACATTCATTAGATGCGATTTCAATTTGCAAATCACACCGGTATGACCGGACACTCAGTGCCCAGTCATAACAGCGCAATTTCAGGTGCGATTTGGGAATTGAAATCTGAACTTGCATCTAATGGATGTCAGCGTCTTCACACGTGTGATTTGCTGCAGTGCGATTTTTAAAGTAGTTCTTGCATTACCTTTTCTGCAGTTTTGTTGCGATTTCACATACACAGAATAGAATGGAAATCGCACTGCAAATTGCAAGAAATCATTGAAAATCATAATCATCGCAACTAAGTCTTCAGAAATTGCACCTGAAATCGTGCAGAAATTACACACAAATCGTGCAATTTTAAATAGCAGCGACAGGTGACTAAATGTGTAAATTGTCACATGCCTGATGAAGGGGTCCTGCAATACTCCGAAACGTTGCCTATGGTCACATGCCTGATAAAGGGGTCCTGCAATACTCCGAAACGTTGCCTATGGTCACATGCCTGATAAAGGGGTCCTGCAATACTCCGAAACGTTGCCTATGGTCACATGCCTGATAAAGGGGTCCTGCAATACTCCGAAACATTGCCTATGGTCACATGCCTGATGAAGGGGTCCTGCGAGACTCTGAAACGTTGCCTATGGTCACATGCCTGATGAAGGCGTCCTGCGAGACTCCGAAACGTTGCCTATGGTCACAAGCCTGATGAAGGGGTCCTACGAGACTCCGAAACGTTGCCTATGGTCACAAGCCTGATGAAGGGGTCCCACGAGACTCCGAAACATTTCCTATGGTCACAAGCCTGATGAAGGGGTCCTGCAATACTCCGAAACATTGCCTATGGTCACATGCCTGATGAAGGGGTCCTGCAATACTCCGAAACATTGCCTATGGTCACATGCCTGATGAAGGGGTCCTGCAATACTCTGAAAACGTTGCCTATGGTCACATGCCTAATGAAGGGGTCCTGCAATACTCCGAAACGTTGCCTATGGTCACATGCCTGATGAAGGGGTCCTGCAATACTCCGAAACGTTGCCTATGGTCACATGCCTGATAAAGGGGTCCTGCAATACTCCGAAACATTGCCTATGGTCACATGCCCGATGAAGGGGTCCTGCGAGACTCCGAAACGTTGCCTATGGTCACATGCCTGATAAAGGGGTCCTGCAATACTCCGAAACATTGCCTATGGTCACATGCCTGATGAAGGGGTCCTGCAATACTCCGAAACGTTGCCTATGGTCACATGCCTGATAAAGGGGTCCTGCAATACTCCGAAACATTGCCTATGGTCACATGCCTGATGAAGGGGTCCTGCGAGACTCTGAAACGTTGCCTATGGTCACAAGCCTGATGAAGTGGTCCTACGAGACTCCGAAACGTTGCCTATGGTCACAAGCCTGATGAAGGGGTCCCAGGAGACTCCGAAACGTTTCCTATGGTCACAAGCCTGATGAAGGGGTCCTACGAGACTCCGAAACGTTGCCTATGGTCACAAGCCTGATGAAGGGGTCCTACGAGACTCCGAAACGTTGCCTATGGTCACAAGCCTGATGAAGGGGTCCTGCGAGACTCCGAAACGTTGCCTATGGTCACAAGCCTGATGAAGGGGTCCTACGAGACTCCGAAACGTTGCCTTGCTGTAACGATGTGATCGTTCATTAAAACGTTTGGACCCATATTGGTGATCCTTGGTGTGCCGGTGACATTCTCCCTCGCTGATTCTGTTCGGTTCCAGCCGACGGTCGCTGCAGCACCCACTTATACACACAGCCATTTGTAATGAAGGAATGTGTGCGTTTGGATTGTACACTTAAATGTGTAAATTCTTCACTTTGAATGGATGAAGGGGACAGGCAGATAAACAGGTACAACTTTTGTAGGAGGATTTGTTTAATCTCTGTGTATCTCCTGAAGCCAGGCTCTTCACTGGGTATATGTCAGGGTTCACAACCACTTTTACTGAGAGGTAAATATTACCCATCATGAAACCTGTACTAGTGATCCAGTCGTCATAGTTCACCGACCATAATGTAGGTAGGTTTACAGGGGCCTTGGATTACGGCGGCTGCAAATATTTATCATTCTAATGGACCATCTACTGTCTACAGCTGACTGCCAACAGCTTTCCACCTTGTGCACACTTCCCCCATAGCAGCAAATTAAATTTGATGATCTCTCGCTAGGTGCAGTCAGTACTTCAAGAGCTTGCGCTGGTTATATACAGAGGTCAGATAATGAACCATTCACAGATGCAATATTAGCACCCTAAAAACCTTACAGGGAAGATGGGGTACCCACTGCTACCGGGGGGCAATAATAATAGGAGAAGGTCCGTGTGCAGCGTGTAAGAGAGACAACTAATCATACAGAGAGTTCCGTATGTCAGAACTTACAAAGAGCTGCAGCAGCTGTAGTCTGCATCATAGGAGAACGTCCCATCTGTGTGTGAGCTGTCACCTGAAATAAAGCACAAGGTGAAAGGAGGTAAATGTAAAAACACCTCACCATGAGTTCAGGGTGTAAAACTGAGAATACACCCAGCATACTCATCACATGTCAAACACATGGCCCGCGGGCCAAATCTGCCCACCAGACCACTTCATGTGGCCCTCACACCTCTTCTGCAGCTGCAGCCCCCCCTTCATCTCCACCCCACATTGTCTCAGCAGTCGGCAGCAGAGAGGAGGACAAAACTCAATTGTCAGACCCTGCGCTTCTCTGTACAGCAGCGGAGAGGCTCATCTCTGCCCCCCTCCCCCTTATCTCAGCAGTCGGCAGCAGAGAGGAGGACAAAACGCATCTGTCAGATCCTGCGCTTCTCTGTACAGCAGCGGAGAGGCTCATCTCTGCCCCCTCCTTCCTTATCTCAGCAGTCGGCAGCAGACAGGAGGACAGAATTCATCTGTCAGATCCTGAGCTTCTCTGTGCAGCAGCGGAGAGGCTCATCTCTGCCCCCCTCCTTCCTTATCTCAGCAGTCGGCAGCAGACAGGAGGACAGAATTCATCTGTCAGATCCTGAGCTTCTCTGTGCAGCAGCGGAGAGGCTCATCTCTGCCCCCTCCCCCTTATCTCAGCAGTCGGCAGCAGAGAGGAGGACAAAACGCATCTGTCAGATCCTGCGCTTCTCTGTACAGCAGCGGAGAGGCTCATCTCTGCCCCTCCCCCTTATCTCAGCAGTCGGCAGCAGAGAGGAGGACAAAACGCATCTGTCAGATCCTGCGCTTCTCTCTGTACAGCAGCGGAGAGGCTCATCTCTGCCCCCTCCCCCTTATCCCAGCAGTTGGCAGCAGAGAGGAGGACAAAACTCATCTGTCAGATCCTGGCTTCTCTGTACAGCAGCGGAGAGGCTCATCTCTGCCCCCTCCCCCTTATCCCAGCAGTCGGCAGCAGAGAGGAGGACAAAACTCATCTGTCAGATCCTGGCTTCTCTGTACAGCAGCGGAGAGGCTCATCTCTGCCCCCTCCCCCTTATCCCAGCAGTCAGCAGCAGACAGGAGGACAAATCTCCTCCTACAGATCCTGCCCCTCCCTTGTCTCCGCCTCCCCCGATCTCAGCATTCAGCAGATTCCGGCAAATGACTCCAGCCCTCCTCTGGTCCTCCTCCAGACCAGGCACTTTTTGCTTCCCAGCTCTGTCCCCAGCTTCTTCCCAGCAGCAGCACAAGGTAAGGGGGGAGCACTGTGATGTAGGGGAGGGTGGGTCACCTGAATGAGTGAGTTTAGTATTACACAGCAATATGAATCCGGACATTGGCAGCCCAAACATGCCACTTTATCTTAGGTCAATGGCTGCATGTGCAGAATCACCCAGGGGCAGATCCCCTCTATAACGAGAGCTGACAATGTATTCTGAGGGGAAAATGACAGATCATAAAAGAGCAACCTTAACCTTTATACACACGCACACGCAGGGGTGTCCCTAGGGCTGGTGTCACCCGGTGCGGTAACACTTGGCGACACCCCCTCCGACGATCCCCGCAGAATGGATCGGATCTGCGGATTGAGCATAATGGATTGGACTCCGATTCATTATGCTCAATCCGCAGATCCCATCAATCCTGCGGGGATCGTCGGCTTGCTTTACGACTTACCTTTTCATGGAGCGTGTACGGTGTGACCTCGTATAGGCTGCATCCCGACAGATCCCTGCAGGATGGATCGGATCTGTGGATTGAGCATAATGGATGGGACTCCAATCCATTATGCTGCCCAATCCGCAGATCCCATCCATCCTGCGGGGATCGTCGGCTTGCTTTACAACTTACCTTTTCGTGGAGCGGATCCGGTGTCACCCCGTATAGGCTGCATGCCGACGATCCCCGCAGGATGGATCGGATCTGCGGATTGGGCAGCATAATGGATCGAACTTTGATCCATTATGCTCAATCCACAGATCCGATCCATCCTGCGGGGATTGTCGGCTTGCTTTACAACTTACCTTTTCATGGAGCGGGTCCGGTGTCCCCCCGTGCAGTAGGTGTCACCCGGTGCGACGCGCACCGCACCTGTCTAGGGACGCCCCTGCGCATACACACGCATACACATACACGCACACACACACACGCAATCTTACAGCGTGACAGCCAAGGTCTTTCTGGCGGTGATGTATAGTGGTACCCAGCCCGGTCCACACATTCAATGCTCTGGTCTCCGTAGATGATTTGGAAAACTTGGCAGATGAGAGCGCAGGATTCCTCCGCAGCATCCTGACAGGATACAGAAAACAGATTCGATTTTTACCTTCCGAACACTTCATAAACCCTGACAGGTTCATTCAATGCGTGATGCTGTGTGCAGAGGCCAGGTCTACAGGGCACTCGCTTTATGAAAAGTCCCTGGCTGGCTTTTTTTTTTTTCTACTCTTTGCTGCAGTGAAAAATATTCGTATTGAAAAATGTCTTCTAAGCCAAGATTTGACCATTATTGGTATTGTTTGCATTCCTCTTCCCAAAATCAGTGATCACGGGCCCAGATATCAGATGACAGTCCTGCAACCTACCTTACGTAAGTGATTGTAAACCCTTCCATATACCCAGTGAAGTGAATGGCCTCAGGTGATACACAGAGATGAAACAAATCCTCCTACATAAGTTGTACCTTTTTACCTGCAGCCTTGTCTACTCTACATGAATGTACAAATTGTATATTAAAGTGCAGCGCTGCACTTTACTATACAATTTTTTATGGGATTTGTTGCCTTTACCTTTTGCGCTAGCAGCTTCTAGATATCAGCGCTCGCCATATACTTTGCAATAATTGCTGAATTTTTAAAGCTTGTCTGAGATTTCAGAACAAAAGGGGCATTGTCTACTCTACATGAATGTACAAATTGTATATTAAAGTGCAGCGCTGCACTTTACTATACAATTTTTTATGGGATTTGTTGCCTTTACCTTTTGCGCTAGCAGCTTCTAGATATCAGCGCTCGCCATATACTTTGCAATAATTGCTGAATTTATAAAGCTTGTCTGAGATTTCAGAACAAAAGGGGCATTGTCTACTCTACATGAATGTATAAATTGTATATTAAAGTGCAGCGCTGCACTTTACTATACAATTTTTTATGGGATTTGTTGCCTTTACCTTCTGCGCTAGCAGCTTCTAGATATCAGCGCTCGCCATATACTTTGCAATAATTGCTGAATTTATAAAGCTTGTCTGAGATTTCAGAACAAAAGGGGCATTGTCTACTCTACATGAATGTATAAATTGTATATTAAAGTGCAGCGCTGCACTTTACTATACAATTTTTTATGGGATTTGTTGCCTTTACCTTTTGCGCTAGCAGCTTCTAGATATCAGCGCTCGCCATATACTTTGCAATTATTGATGAATTTATAAGCTTGTCTGAGATTTCAGAACAAAAGGGGCGGAGAGCTGAAGTTACGCTCCGCAGAGGTTAGTGAGGAGAGCTCTGGGAGCTGATTGGAGGGAAGAGACACATTCCCCCTTTCGCACAGCACACAGGAACAGAGCTGAGGCTGTCCATTTGTTGTAGGTCCCTCCCCGTCACCATTTTTCTCTTGGTGTCAGGAAAACGTGTCAGAAGTGATTCATGCTGTTAGTAGAGGAACTAAGCAGCAGAATGAAATGACACTTAGTGCTCCTAATTTAGACAAGTACACACTAGGTTTCTGCCCTGTCACCATTTTTCCATTCAAAGTGCAAAATTTATAAAGCTTGTAGAGCTGTCAAAAAAAAAAAAAAAAAAAGGTGCGTGAAGAGCTTAAGTTAAGTTAGTTTATAAAGCTTGTCTGAGATTTCAGAACAAAAGAGGCAGAGAGCTGAAGTTAAGCTCTGCAGAGCTCAGTGAGGAGAGTTCTGGTTGCTGACTGGAGGGAAGGGACACACCCTCCTCCACACAGCTCACAGGAACAGAGCTCAGAGCTAAGGCTATCAATCTGCTGTAGGCCCCTCCCCTGTCACCATTTTTCTCTTGGTGTCAGGAAAGCTTGTCAGAGGTGATTCATGCTGTTAGCAGAGGAACTAAGCAGCAGAAGAAAAAATTACACTCAGTGCTCTTAATTGAGACGAGTGCACACTATAGAGGGATATGCTTCGTTCATATTTCATATCTGAGGTTTAAAACCACTTCAGCATACATAAAGGTTAGCAAATCCTGTCCAATGGCTAATATACCTCCTGATAAGTAGCCACTAGGGCTGTTTCCAGTATATCCTTCTTCCTCTGCATGAGTCAAGCATTGAAGTGGTTTAGGACGCCATTGGTGAAAAGACAGTCACCCCCTAGGTGGATCATCCTTCTTATAGTACAGGTGAAGGGATATTCATTGTGGATACAACAAAAAGGACGCAGGCATGGGGCTACTAAAGCCCTGCTAGGAATTATTGATATACTGTAGTTAATAAAAAGGGAACTCTTCTTCCAAATAGGTAAATGTCTTGGACATGCTGCCCTCCAACTTCATTTAAAGTACTTTTTGAGTCCCCGGAAAATTATTGACACTTATAAAGTCCAGAAGGAGAGAGAGACAAAAAGAGAGTGAGGATGGACAAAGTGCAAGAGATTCCCCCCCCCCCCCCCCCCCCCATATAACTAAAGACACGGGAATTCTGTATTTCAAAAGAGAGAGAGGAGAGGAGAGAAAAAAAATAGCAAATTTTTCCTATATGGAATAAAATGCCATCTTGATGGAAATGTATGTAAAAGTGACTCCGCCACTTCCTGTTCCTTCCCTGTTCCGCCATTGATCTCTGCTATGTCAAGCATACAAAAGATATTTATTATCCAGGAATGTTGGATGGCAGGTTCCCCCCTATGAGCCCCAGGATTCCTCCCACCGGACCCTGCGTTACTAGTGTGTTCTGTAGTGATGAAGGGGCCAACGGAAGGAACCACATTATGCAGGGGGGAGCTGGAGTCCGACACTCCTGGAAGTGTCTGATGGAAAAGGAACCACATCATACAGGGGGAACCTGGAATCCAACACTCCTGGAAGTGTCTGATGGAGAAGGAACCACATCACGCAGGGGGGAGCTGGAATCCGAACACTCCCGAAGTGTCTGATGGAGAAGGAACCACATCATGCAGGGGGAACCTGGAATCCAACACTCCTGGAAGTGTCTGATGGAGAAGGAACCACATCACGCAGGGGGGAGCTGGAATCCGACACTCCCGGAAGTGTCTGATGGAGAAGGAACCACATCATGCAGGGGGGAGCTGGAATCAGACACCCCTGGAAGTGTCTGATGGAGAAGGAACCACATCATGCAGGGGGGAGCTAGAGTCAGACACCCTGGAAGTGTCTGATGGAGAAGGAACACATCATGCAGGGGGGAGCTGGAGTCTGACACTCCTGGAAGTGTCTGATGGAGAAGGAACCACATCATGCAGGGGGGAGCTGGAATCCGACACTCCTGGAAGTGTCTGATGCAGAAGGAACCACATCATGCAAGGGGGAGCTGGAATCCGACACCCCTGGAAGTGTCTGATGGAGAAGGAACCACATCATGCAGGGGGGAGCTGGAATCCGACACTCCTGGAAGTGTCTGATGGAGAAGGAACCACATCATGCAGGGGGAGCTGGAATCAGACACCCCTGGAAGTGTCTGATGCAGAAGGAACCACATCATGCAAGGGGGAGCTGGAATCCGACACTCCTGGAAGTGTCTGATGCAGAAGGAACCACATCATGCAGGAGGGAGCTGGAATCCGACACTCCTGGAAGTGTCTGATGCAGAAGGAACCACATCATGCAAGGGGGAGCTGGAATCCGACACTCCTGTAAAAGTATCTAATGCAGAAACCAGTGTAGCATTTGAAAATAGTGGAGACCATCGGTGGGAGAAGTGGGAAGGGTAGGCTTGAACCCTATTCTTTGCAGGGAAGCTTTTTTTGTTGTTTAATAGTGACATTGTGCAATGGGAAAGTTTGTGGGTGGCACACTGCTGGCCAAAGCTTGAAGAAGACTGTTCTAGATGAGAAGAGTTACATTTTAAAATGTAATAAGACACAACTCACCCTGTTCTCCACTGCCAGGATGATTAAGTTGCAGTAGGCATCTGGACAAGGTTCCTTTGGATCTAAAGGGTTGTGCCCCGTGTGCCTCTTCTCCCAGCTGCCACCGCAGGTCTGCCGCCTCTCCCAACTGCCACCGCAGGGCTGCCGCCTCTCCCAGCTGCCACCACAAGGCTGCCGCCTCTCCCAGCTGCCTCCGCAGGGTTGCCTCTTTTCCCAACTGCCGCCACAGGGCTGTTGTCTTTTTTCCCAGCTTCCCCCACATGGCTGCCTCCTCTCCCAGCTACCGCTGAAGGTCATTCTCCTCTCCCAGTTGGGGCAGGCCTGCCCTCCCTGTCTCTTCTCCCAGCTTCCGCTGTCCTGTTTTCCCCCTCGCCTCTCTAAACTACCTCCCCCTTTGGGTCGCCCATCCGAAGTCCTATGAGCCATTTTCCAGTCCAGGCTGCAGATAGTGTGACGCCTTTCCATGGTGCCTCCCACAGGCTTGGAGCCTGCTCTGTCAGCCTTGCCAGCCGGTGGCTTTCTCTCCAGGCTACCTGCTGCTGGCACCGGGTCCAATCCAAGACCTGAAAAAAAAAATATAAGCAAACAGATATAAATTCTATGACAAAAAAAAAAAGCGGCCCTGCAGCTATCTACTTGACTCCTCCGTGAGAAACTCCAGGTTCAGCCTTTATCCAATAGGTGTGCAAATATATCGAGAATGTCAAAAGCAATCTGGCCAATCAAGAAGCCAGCAGGCACCCAGACGCCAGGAAATGAGGAAGTTGGTGGTAGAAAGAATGCATGAATTATTTTACAAGGCCTTTGGTTGTATCACAGTTTGTGTATGTATTAACTAGTGATCACAAGGTTGAGTCACCAGACCAGGGGCGGACTGACCATTCGGAAACTCGGGCACTGCCCGAGGGCCCTGGGTCAATAGGGGGCCCCATAAGATGCCCCTGGTACATTTCATAGGCTTTTTTTGGGTATGGTTTGAGTGTGGGTAAGGCCCCATGATCCCCTATTGAGTTGTCAGTCCGCCCCTGCACCAGACTGTGTCTGCCTTCATGAAATTCTGGTTCCCAGCTCCGCCCACCCATCCTAACCTTTGCATGAAGTCCTCGCTGTCCATGTATATTTTTTTTAATTACCTGTTCTCAGCAGTGCCATCCATCAGTGCTGCTCAGCAGTGCCGCCTATCAGTGCAGCTCATCAGTGCCGCCAATCAGTGCCCATCAGTGCTGCCTATCCATGCCACCTCATCAGTGCCCATCAGTGCTGCCTATCCATGCCACCTCATCAGTGCCCATCAGTGCTGCCTATCCGTGCCACCTCATCAGTGCCCATCAGTGCCGTGCCCTCATCCCCATCAGTGCTCCCTATCCGTGCCACCTCATCAGTGCCCATCAGTGCTGCCTATCCGTGCCACCTCATCAGTGCTGCCTATCAGTGCCCATCGATGCTGTCTATCCATGCCACCTCATCAGTGCCCATCAGTGCTGCCTATCAGTGCCCATCAGTGCTGCCTATCCGTGCCAGCTCATCAGTGCCCATCAGTGCTGCCTATCAGTGTCCATTGGTGCTGCCTATCAGTGCAGCCTCATCAACACACATCAGTGAAGGAGAACAATTACCTGTTTGCAAAATTTTATAATAGAAACAAAGAAAAACTTTTTTCTCTTTGCTCTTTTTTTGTTTATAAACGCAAAAAATAAAACACCCAGTGGTGATTAAGTAACACCAAAAAAAGCTCTATGCGTGTGAAAAAAAATATTAACAATTTCATATGGGTACAGTGTCGCATGACCGCGCAATTGTCATTCAAAGAGCGACAGCACTGAAAGCTGAAAATTGGTAGGAAGGGGTATAGTGCCCGGTGGGCAGGAAGGGGGTAGAAGTGCCCGGTGGGCAGGAAGGGGGTAGAAGTGCCCTGTAGGCAGGAAGGGGGTAGAAGTGCCCTGTAGGGCAGGAAGGGGGTAGAAGTGCCCTGTAGGCAGGAAGGGGTATAAGTGCCCTGTGGGCAGGAAGGGGGTAGAAGTGCCCGGTGGGCAGGAAGGGGGTAGAAGTGCCCGTGGGCAGGAAGGGGGTAGAAGTGCCCTGTGGGCAGGAAGGGGATAGAAGTGCCCGGTGGCAGGAAGGGTGTAGAAGTGTGCCCTGTAGGCAGGAAGGGGGTAGAAGTGCCCTGTAGGCAGGAAGGGGGTAGAAGTGCCCTGTAGGCAGGAAGGGGGTAGAAGTGCCCTGTAGGCAGGACGGGGGTAGAAGTGCCCTGTAGGCAGGAAGGGGGTAGAAGTGCCCTGTAGGCAGGAAGGGGGTAGAAGTGCCCTGTAGGCAGGAAGGGGGTAGAAGTGCCCTGTAGGCAGGAAGGGGGTAGAAGTGCCCTGTAGGCAGGAAGGGGGTAGAAGTGCCCTGTAGGCAGGACGGGGGTAGAAGTGCCCTGTAGGCAGGAAGGGGGTAGAAGTGCCCTGTAGGCAGGAAGGGGGTAGAAGTGCCCTGTAGGCAGGAAGGGGGTAGAAGTGCCATGTACGCAGGACGGGGGTAGAAGTGCCCTGTAGGCAGGAAGGGGGTAGAAGTGCCCTGTAGGCAGGAAGGGGGTAGAAGTGCCCTGTAGGCAGGAAGGGGGTAGAAGTACCCTGTAGGCAGGAAGGGGGTAGAAGTGCCCTGTAGGCAGGACGGGGGTAGAAGTGCCCAGCAGGCGAGTGGTTAACAAGAAAAATCACATTTAGGTCCACTTTAGGCAGTTCAAATCTTCTACCCTGTTTTTTTCTGCCTATAGCGGAAGCTATACAATGCTTGTAAACACAAACCAAGAAACAAAAAATACAAAGTACGTAAATGCAATGTGCCAAAATGTAAGAATACTCCACCCAAAACAAATCTGGAAACATCCGGGAAAAGCGAACTCTACCTCCACAGACGCCAGCGAGTCCAAGCAATGAAGTTGTTACTTCCCTCATTAAAAAGCAAAGAGCCCCAGTTTCAGTTTACATGACAGCGGCTGGGTCACCCGGGGTAAATAGAAGATTCAGAGCGAGAGTAATCACAAGACAGGTTAAGGAATAAAACATTCAGGAAACAAAAAGTTCTGAAGAAACTAGTCGGAGGAAAGATTCATGGACACAGGAGAATACCGGAGCGAGACGCCATCAGGACACAGAGGACATCTAAGGATCCGTGCAGGCAGCCGTTAATGAAAGACATTTTTGACGGCTGAATAAAGTCAGTTTTGTTCACGTGGGTAACCCAGAGAAGACAAGGACAGGAGCGGGAGAAGAAGAGAGCCTTCTGCACCCTCCATCCCCTCACTACATACACACAACTCAGGCCGGTGACAACATGCTGGTGCACCGAAATTAAAATTCTGGACCGGAACCAAAACTTCAGTTGGCCGAAAACCGAAATGGACATTTTTTTGTAATTATTATTTTTTTTAGACATAAATGTATTATATTTAATATTTAATTATTATCATGAATTTAAATGAATATGAATTTATAAAAAATACAATCCAGTAACGTAAAATAACTTTGATTGAAAGCGGCGCACAAAAACTGAACAGAAAATAAAATGAAATCTATATAAAATTAAAAAAACTTAAACAGAGGCGTTTTTGCCTTGAAGTCAATAGGGGGCTGTTTTTTGCATTGAAGTCAACGGGACACGACGATTTGCATTGAAGTCAATGGGAGGAGATTTTGCAATTAAGTCACTGGGACTGGATTTGGCATTGAAATCAATGGGACACGATTTTGCATTGAAGTCATTAGGATGCGACGTTGCATTGAAGTCATTAGGATGCAACGTTGCATTGAAGTCAATGGGATGAGATTTTCCAATGAAGTCAATGGGATGGGATTTGGCATTGAAGTCAATGGGACATGATTTGGCATTGAAGTCAATGAGACAGGATTTGGTATTGAAGTCAATGGGACAGGATTTGAAAAAAAATTATAATGACTGCTTGGACTCGCTGGCGTCTGTGGAGGTAGAGTTCGCTTTTCCCGGATATTTCCAGATTTGTTTTGGGTGGAGTATTCTTACATTTTGGCACATTGCGTATACATACTTTGTATTTTTTTTTTTTTTTTCTTTTTTTTTTTCTTGGTTTGTGTTTACAAGCATTGTATAGAAAAAAACGGGGCAGAAGATTTTAACAACAAACTGCCTAAAGTGGACCTAAATACGATTATTCTTGTTAACCACTTGCCTACTCGGCACTTCTACCCCCTTCCTGTCCAGGCCAATTTTCAGCTTTCAGCGCTGTCGCACTTTGAATGGCAATTGCACGGTCATGCGACACTGTACCCATATGACATTTTTATCATTGAAGTCAATGGGACACGATTTTGCATTGAAGTCATTAGGATGCGACTTTGCATTGAAGTCAATGGGACGTGACTTTGCATTGAAGTCACTGGGACGCGGAAAAGTGCCAATAACCCTATTTTCAGCCGATAATTTTCACTAGTCGATATATCAATGAATCACTTCTGAAATGCCATGCTCAGCTGGTCCAGTCTTGCACAGTTGTGGCCCAAGCCACGCTCAATATCTCTTATAGACGTACAGGGCTGGCTCGGCAGCGAGCATGCAGGAGAGCCACCAGAGCAAGCAGCTTGCTCTGGGGACACTCGGCAAGGGGGAGAGGTCAGGAGCACTGGCAAGGAACCCAAGAAGAGCAGGATCAGGGCTGCCCTGAGCAAAACCATTGCAGCAGGTAAGTACAACGTGTTTGTTATTTTAGTAAAAAAAAAACCCCAAAGCTTTACAACCACTAAAGAACACGACTAACTGCTAATGAACATTATCTCCCTTTTTTGTTACATAGGGTAAAAAAAGGAGCTAAGTCTTTAAAATTCACCTTCAAATAACAGATATAAAATATACATTTCGGTGTCAGGATCCCTGGTTGATCTAGTGCAGGGGTAGGGAACCTGCAGCTCTCTAGCTGTTGTGGAACTACATTTCCCATGAGGTATTGCAACACTACAAAACTGATAGTTACAGCTATGACTTGCAGAGGCATGATGGAACTTGTAGTCCTGCAACAGCTGGCGAGCCGAAGGTTGCCTGCCCCTGATCTAGTGGCTTGGGTAGGTGACAGATTCTGTTTGAAATGCATCATCCCAACACAAGTGTCCTACCATACAAAGGAAACGAGACAGCCAATTTCCGGCACCTGTTTTGAGGACAAGAAGGTGGAGTGCGTCGTCTCTGACATAGGAAGCAGCGGCAATTTCGTGAGTGGGAATCCGCAGGATCAGTTCCTCATTGTCCCTCCAGGTCAGTAGGAGGCTGCGGGCAGACATGCTAAGGATACTGTCCTGCTCCGGGGTGCAATGTAGGGGCAGCTCCTTCAACTGCTGTGGAGACAAGAACAGTGACAGTTGCCTTCAGGATCATGGAAGTTCAGAAAACTGACCACGTAAAACTGACTGCCTGCCTAAACCACACAAAAACATAACCTAGAAAAATGTCAACTCTTGTGCCGGAAAACAGGATTAGGACTTTATTTTGCCTCAGGAGGGGGGGGGGGGGGGGTGCACCTTGTGTGCCTATGGGGGCAGTCTTAGAAATGGCAGTTGATTCTAGGTTCATTCTTCCTCTAGGTTCACCTCGACAGGAGCAGTCAGTGCACTGAAATGAGGACTTTAGACAACAAATTCTTTCTGGACAACCACAGAGAAAACAAGTGACAAGATAATTAAATTAGATGTGAACTCAATCACTAAGATCTCATGTAAGCTGCAATATGTTCCCGTCATTTCAAAGGTGGTTTTTAATCTGCAGCTTCCATTAAAATAATACCTGGCAATCCTTTTAGAAGGTCTTCCTGTTCAGTCACTTCCTGTTACTGGGTGACAACTGTCTGCCAATCGTGCTCCTGTGTTGTCACCCTGCCACAAACGCCCCGGGTAGAGACTACAAGCAGCCGTGCCAACACACATCCTGCAGGCAAGGTCTACTTTTGTCATTTTAAAGATAATCCAGAACAATGCCAAACGCTGGAGCGATGGAATGTAGACAGGAAGTAGCTGAAAGAGGCTGGAGGAGATCAGCAGCACTGAGATGAAACAAAGTTGTTTATAATACACAGCAATTTAGCAGATGATTCCCATCCAATTAGACTAGGTTCACATTTGTGCGGTTGGTGTGGCTGCGGATCTGCACGAAAATCCGTGCAGCCGCACCACCCACACAGAGGAATGCGGACCTGCGGGCGGGGGTGCCAATAATTCTAATGGAAAACTGGAAAACGCAGCTGTACTGGGAATCGAGGTTCCCGTGTGGGCTGCGTTTTCAGAAGTGCAGAGACTTCTTCCCTGCGTGTCACAGGGCACGGGTGTCTATTCAAATGAATGGGCTCTCATGCCCGCACAACCCGCGGCCGCGTATATGTGAACCAGAGGTTAGGGTTGACATATACCTAAAATTCTATGGCTATCCTTTTCAGCGCCACCCCCCCCTCCCCCATCCTCCCTCCAAGAGTTAAATGCTTGTTAGCCCTTAGGGCTAGCTCACATTAGATGCAGTCCAGTGCGCTTTTTTTCTGCATCAAAAAAGCATGCACAGTGTTTTCCATGTATTCCAATGGCCCTGGTTCACACCAGTGCAGTCAGTTTCCGGTGCAGAAAAAAAAAAGTAGATCATGCTGCATTTTTTCTGCACAGAACCGTACTGAAACATAGCAAACTGCATCAAAACTGCACCGGAACATCATGTGGTGTGAACGCAAAAACGTATCCGGAATGCATCCGGAGTGCGCTTTCGTGGTGTGAACTGACCCTCAAGGGTAGAGGAAGAGGCTCCATTACTGAAGTTGGCCATACATGGATCAAATGCAGGAAGAACTGGCCAAAATTCGTTCTGCGGGTGGTCCTGACAGCACCATCTGGCATGACAAAAGTCGATTTTTCATTGAAGGAGCTAGGTCAGGGGTAGGCAACCTGCAGCTCTCTAGCTGTTGTGGAACTACATTTCCCATGAGGCATTGCAACATTACAAAACTGACAGTTACAGCTATGACTTGAAGAGGCATGATGGAACTTGTAGTCCTTCAACAGCTGGAAAGCCGTAGGTTGCCGGCCCCTGAGCTAGGCAAATATTTCTTGTCCGAACACCACCATGCAAGCAGGCACTGTTCAGGTATTCTGACTAGGGTTGCCACCTCATCCCTTTAAACCCGAACACATAATAATGACACAGGTTCTGAGGCTGATTTAAGTCCGTTTAATGACCACCTTAATCAGCCCCAGAACCCGAGTCATGAATATGTGTTTGGGTTTAAAGGGATGAGGTGGCCACCCTAATTCTGACAGCTGCAGGTACCGGCTGTCAATAGAACAGCCAGCGTGACGGATGCATCCATCTGTGCTGTTGCATTGATGGGGGGATGAAGTGTTTTATCTTGTTCAGCCTGCAGGGATTTTATCTTGTTCCTGTAGGATGTTTTTTTTTTTTTTTTGAATCTGCAGGCACTCTACATAGGTTTTTAACAGAGAGAGCCTTACCCGAGCTGTGTCCAGGAGCTGCAAGATTTCATCTCGGCTAGATGGATTCAAAGAGGCGACTACCCACGTCAGGTGACCTAAGAACTGGAGAATGAGAGGATATGATGGCAATGATTGAAAACTGTAAATGATTGTAAACTGTAAATGCAGCAACCTCTTGACTTGACGGCATGGAAAAAGTTGGTCAGCTTGGATCTTCCGTTGTTATGATGCTAGGGCAGGGGTCTGCAACCTTTAAGACATAAAGAGCCACTTGGACCCATTTCCGAGAGGGAAAAAAAGACTGGGAGCCGCAAAACCATTGCAACATTTAAAACAAATCCGACACTGCATATATTGCAAAAAACGCTCTGGTCATGAAGGGGGTTTAAGGGCCCAGTAAGCAAAGGGTTAATCAGGGCCACAGTGTATCGTCATAATCACAATCATAGCCTTAGGTCAGTGGTGGGCAACCTTTTTTTTTTTCGACTGAGCCAAATCTCGCCAAAACCACGATTGAAATTTATTTTTGAGAGAAACATTTTTAAAACTGAAAATACATCCCCCATATAGTAATTCATCCCCCATAGTAATTCATCCCCCATAGTAATTCATCCATCCCTCATATAGTAATTCATCCCCCATAGTAATTCATCCCCCCTATAGTAATTCATCCCCCATAGTAATTCATCCCCCCTATAGTAATTCATCCCCCCTATAGTAATTCATCCCCCATATAGTAATTCATCCCTCGTAGTAATTCATCCCCCATAGTAATTCATCCCCCCTATAGTAATTCATCCCCCCTATAGCAATTCATCCCCCCTATAGTAATTCATCCCCCCTATAGTAATTCATCCCCCATAGTAATTCATCCCCCATAGTAATTCATCCCTCATATAGTAATTCATCCCTCATATAGTAATTCATCCCTCATATAGTAATTCATCCCCCCTATAGTAATTCATCCCCCTATAGTAATTCATCCCCCCTGTAGTAATTCATCCCCCGTAGTAATTCATCCCCCCTATAGTAATTCATCCCCCATAGTAATTCATTCCCCATATTGTGTGAATTCACTTACCTTTGCTCCGCGCGTTCCTCTCGCTGGGTTCCCGCGCCGTTCTGGTCTTCAGGGCGGACTGTGAGAGGAGAGGAGTTCGTCACGCTGCCCCGCCTACATCCGGGCTGCCCCACCTACATCCTGACAGCCAATGTTTGCCAGCGGGCGCCCGGCACACAGAAGATCTACATTAAAAGAGCCGCGGCTTGCCGACCCTATTGCCTGTCACCTGGTGGGCAGTGTGCTCCGGAGCCGCAGGAAAGGTGAAAAAGAGCCGCATGCGGCTCCGGAGCCGCGGGTTGCCGACACCCGTGCTAGGGGGTTGTCCAAAGAAGTTTGGGAACATATGGTCCAGGTAGGTGGACTCCACTGCGACAGTGGCTGACAACCCTTAAGGCTAGGTTCGCACCTAGGCAGTTTGCGTTTGATCCGTTTCTGCAGTGTGTTTTTAACACGTTTTTGCCGCATTTTTGAAGCGTTTTGAAGGTTCTTTAACATTTTTTTCTTGTTGCTAGGCAGGTTTAAAACCCCAAACGCATCAAAAACGCACTACATGCTTTTCAGCAGCGTTTCCATTGAAGTCCGTAGAACCAAAAACACAACTTTTTGCGTAAAAAAAAGTCCCTGACCCTTTCCATAAAACGCACCGGGTGAAAACGCGGACATGTGAATCTGCCCCATAGGAAATCATGTTAAATGGACTGTAGTGCGTTTCTGCAAAATGCAGCGGAAATCGCATAGGTGTGAACCTGGGGTAAGAGATTATTATATTTTCTTTGTAGGATTCTTGTAGCAGATGGGGTGATCCGCAGGCACATGATTTTTGATGATATGGAGAGCTACGAATCCCGGCTATACACCTTGAAAGGAACCACAAAAAAAAACAAAAAAAAAGTTTTCAAGGTTTCCCTTTCTTTTTTCTCTTTTTCTGAGTATATTTTGATTGTTTTGTTTGTTTTTATTATGTATTCGTATACTACGTGCTATATGTGACTATACCTGTCACCCTATAATAGGTGAGAATACTTCTCTGTCCCAATTCCAGAACAATAAATTGGGTATGCATTTGGTATGGTATAAAAATCTTATTATTATTATTATTATTATACAGGATTTATATAGCACCAACAGTTTGCTCAGCACTTCACAATATAAATGTTGGGATTGAATGGTATTCTTTTTGTTTTTTTAACAGTTGCGTTTATTGAAATCGTACAAAAGTATAACAAAGCAAGGTACATAAGAACAGATTGAATTGTATTCTTACTTTGTACTGACTATTGTTTGTTTTGGACTTTGCCAACTACATATTGTCTGTTTTATGAACATTTTGCATATGGCAATAAAGCGTCTTAAAAAAAACAAAAAAAACATGCTGCAACCTATGGTCAGGGTTTTCACGATCAAGTGCTTACAGTAAGTAAACAAAAAAAGCAAAAAAAAAGAAAAAGAAAAGAAGAATAGGAAAGAGAGAAAGTCATTAAAATACCTTTAATGACTTCTTTCTCTCTTTCCTATTCTTCTTTTCTTTTTGTTTACTTACTGTAAGCACTTGATAGTGAAAACCCTGACCATAGGTTGCTGCATGTTTTGGTTTTTTTTTTTAAGACACTTTATTGCCATATGCAAATATTTATAAAACAGACACTATGTAGTTGGCAGAGTCCAAAACAAACAGTAGTCAGTACAAAGTAAGAATGCCATTCAATTCAATGGAGGAGAAGGGTCAAGAAGGAGCATTTTTGTCAATAAAGTTTTATTCCCGTTTTATCCATAAACAAAAAAACAGGACATATTTCAACCACCGTGCATATGCCATTACATCGGGTTACAGTCGGAATTTAGTATAGCTTTTTCAGGTGTTTTATAAATGTGGATATGCTTGTATTTGGTACGCAGAAAGATGTGGTAGGATGATGGTAATAAGCACCCCCCCCCCAAAAGAACGAAGGAAAACAACCGTTCAAACATCACAAAGATGAAATTCTGTGTAATAAAGGAGGTCACCTGTTGAGTTCTGACCTGCATTCAGTAGCTCTCCTCACTCCTACAGCTATTGATATCTAGTACAGCATGTTCTTCTGTAAAATGAGGTCTGGGGTTGTGTCCAGTACAGAGCTGCAGGAGCTGCGAGTTTTTAGAACGTAGCCAGCTCCATTATGCACCGTAGTCTGCCATTTTTACCACTTGAAAAAAAAATAATAAATGCATTTTTTTTTTCTAAGGAGCCTGCAGCAGATCGCGTGTGCAGTGTCTGGCTCCTGCAGACCTTTAGGATAGCGGTCTGCCTTTACCTCCGATACATAGAGCAGGAAGATCAATAAACTACAGGGACGCTCACCAGCACCCTCATAGTTCATCAAGGACTACAAGACGTCAGCCGCAATGGCCGACAGTACTTGTAGTCTATTCAGGGGAAGGAAAATGGGAATGAATGACGTGGCCGTGTGGACGAAGCCCTGCACGGCCACGCTGTTTTCACATTGTGACAGCGGGTGCAGGGAGAAGATCCCCCGCTTGCTATCACAGGGAGGGGGCTATTGGGGGGGGGAGAAACTGCAGATGCTGGAACATGTTACATGTTCCATCCTAAAAATGGGTGGAACACGTAACATGTTCCAAAGGTGAAGTTATCTTTTAAGGCTAGTAATCTCTTCCTTCAAATGTATATTTTCAACCTGCAGTATGCAATCAGTTACTGATTTCCAAAACTTGGGGACCAGCCTGTTTGGGATGGAGCATTGTAGAAGGCTATAAAGAATAACACAGCTTAACACTTAATAAATTAAAATGTTACTAAAGCCAGGACCCTGCATTCACTATATCTACTCTCCCCGGACCCCGCATTCACTATATCTACTCTCCCCGGACCCTGCATTCACTATATCTACTCTCCCCGGACCCTGCATTCACTATATCCGCTCCCCCCGACCCCGCATTCACTATATCCGCTCTCCCAGGACCCCGCATTCACTATATCCGCTCTCCCCGGACCCCGCATTCACTATATCCGCTCTCCCAGGACCCCGCATTCACTATGTCCGCTCTCCCCGGACCCCGCAGTCACTATATCCGCTCTCCCCGGACCCCGCAGTCACTATATCCGCTCTCCCCGGACCCCGCAGTCACTATATCCGGCTCTCCCCGGACCCGCATTCACTATATCCACTCTCCCGGGCCCCGCATTCACTATATCCACTCTCCCCGGACCCCGCATTCACTATATCCACTCTCCCCAGACCCCGCATTCACTATATCCGCTCTCCCCAGACCCCGCATTCACTATATCCGCTCCCCCCAGACCCCGCATTCACTATATCCGCTCTCCCCGGACCCCGCATTCACTATATCCGCTCTCCCCGGACCCCGCATTCACTATATCCGCTCTCCCCGGACCCCGCATTCACTATATCCGCTCTCCCCGGACCCCGCATTCACTATATCCGCTCTCTCCCCGACCCCGCATTCACTATATCCGCTCTCCCCGGACCCCGCATTCACTATATCCGCTCTCCCCGGACCCCGCATTCACTATATCCGCTCTCCCCCGGACCCCGCATTCACTATATCCGCTCTCCCTGGACCCCGCATTCACTATATCCTCTCTCCCCGGACCCCGCATTCACTATATCTACTCTCCCCGGACCCCACAGTCACTATATTCGCTCTCCCGGACCCCGCAGTCACTATATCTGGCCTCCCCCGGACCCCGCATTCACTATATCCGCTGGCCTCCCCGGACCCCGCATTCACTATATCCGCTCTCCCCGGACCCCGCATTCACTATATCTGCTCTCCCCAGACCGTGCATTCACTATATCCGCTCTCCCCGGACCCCGCATTCACTATATCCGCTCTCCCAGGACCGTGCATTCACTATATCCGCTCTCCCCAGGACCCTGCATTCACTATATCCGCTCTCCCCGGACCCTGCATTCACTATATCCGCTCTCCCCAGACCCTACGTTTAGGATATCAGGTCAGGTGAAATCTCTGCAACGGTGAAACAGACATCAATTCAAACCAGACAGGAGGTTCTGACATTTTCACACCCCTTCCAAATCGAAATTAAAAAAAAAAAAAATAGCGTGGACTTCCATTTTAAACGCCTCACCTTCACTTCTTTCTCCACATAGTCGTGCAGCAGGATCTGAGGGTCTAGTAGGTAGTCCGGGGGCATCACAGGCACAGAATGGAGCGGGCGTCGGTAAGCGCTGTTCTTTGCTGCAGAGCGCCGAGAAGATTTAAGCGACACCAGCCGTTTGATGGGGGAGACCAGAGCCTGCCGGTGATAGTTTACAGTACATGTAAAAACAGCTCAGGTCATAAAAACAGTAACTGGCAGCGCGTCAAGTCACATTTCAATCTGATTTTCTACAGTCAACCACCCAGCGCATCTCAGAATCCCTTCATTAGCAAAGATGCTCCTAATGTGTCTGCTGTGGCTTATCGCAATACAAGATGCCAGTGCCCTGAATTGCCAAGATCCGAGCCCAGAAATTAAAATTGGAACAATGTTGGTCTCTACAGGCCCAACTCAGCCTTTGTTCCCATTTTCTTTTCTTTTTGTATACATAATATTAGGTATCATGAACACTGGGTTTTTAGCCCAAGTACGTGAGACTCTCAAGGTTTATGTACAGGTCCAGGCTGATTAACGAAAACTGAAGCATGCAAAATCAGGTGCAGATCTTCATAGAAACCAATCAGCTTCCAGGTTTTATTGCAAAGCTTAAGTGAAAAAGCTGAAGCTAGAGGCTGATTGGCTGCCATGCACAGCTGCACCAGATTTTACAATCTCCTCTTTTAGAAAATCAAACCCCATAGTGACATGATCCACACATTACAGAGACTACTAATGGTGTCTGAAAAACCTGGAAAGATGTTTAACATAAACTTGAACTTAACTGAAACTAAGAATTTGTTTTTCTTGTCAAAAGGAGAGAATCTTGAAAACTGATTTAACACAAAACAAAATACAAAAATATAATTATTGGTAAAAAAAAAATATATATATGTGTAGGATATTTACAGTACCTCCCAGAAGTGAGTCCACCCCTCACATGTTTGTAAATATTTGATTCTATCTTTTCATGTGACAACACTGAAGAAATGACACTTTGCTACAATGTGACGTAGTCAGTGTACAGCTTGTATAACATGTAAATTTGCTGTCCCCTCAAAATAACTCAACACACCGCCATTAATGTCTAAACTGCTAACAAAAGTGAGTACACCCCTAAGTGACTAGGTCCAAATTGGACCCAATTAGCCATCTTCCCTGCCTGGTGTCATGTGACTCATTAGTGTTACAAGGTCTCAGGTGTGAATGGGGAGCAGGTGTGTTACATTTGGTGTTATCGCTCTCAGTCTCTCAAACTGGTCACTGGAAGTTGAACATGGCACCTCATGGCAAAGAACTCTCTAATGATCTGAGAAAAAGAATTATTGCTCTACATGAAGATGGCCTAGGCTATAAGAAGATTGCCAAGAACCCTGAAACTGAGCTGCAGCACGGCGGCCGAAACCATACAGCTGTTTAACAGGACAGGTTCCTCTCAGAACAGGGCTCACCATGGTCGACCAAAGAAGTTGAGTGCACATGCTGAGCGTCATATCCAGAGTTTGCCTTTGGGAAATAGACACATGAGTGCTGCCAGCATTGCTGCAGAGGGTGAAGGGGTGGGGGGTCAGCCTGTCAGTGCTCAGACCATACGCCGCGCACTGCATCAAATTGGTCTGCATGGCTGTCGTCCCAGAAGGAAGCCTCTTATAAAGATAATGAACAAGAAATCCCGCAAACAGTTTGCTGAAGCCAAGCAGACTAAGGACATGGATTACAGGAACCATGTCCTGTGGTCTGATGACACCAAGATAAACTCATGTGGTTCATATGGTGTCAAGCGTGTGTGGCAGCAACCAGGTGAGGAGTACAAAGACAAGTGTGTCTTGCCTACAGTCAAGCATGGTGGTGGGAGTGTCATGGTCGGGGGCTGCACGAGTGCTGCCGGCACTGGGGAGCTACAGTTCATTGAGGGAACCATGAATGCCAACATGTACTGTGACATACTGAAGCAGAGCATGATCCCCTCCCTTCGGAGACTGGGCCGCAGGGCAGCATTCCAACATGATAACGACCCCAAACACACCTCCAAGATGACTGCTGCCCTGCTAAAGAAGCTGAGGGTAAAGGTGATGGACTGGCCAAGCATGTCTCCAGACCTAAACCCTATTGAGCATCTGTGGGGCATCCTCAAACAGAAGGTGGAGGAGCGCAAGGTCTCTAACATCCACCAGCTCTGTGATGTTGTCATGGAGGAGTGGAAGAGGACTCCAGTGGCAACCTGTGAAGCTCTGGTGACCTCCATGCCCAAGAGGGTTAAGGCAGTGCTGGAAAATAATGGAAGCCACACATAATATTGACACTTTGGGCCCAATTTGGACCTTGTCACTTAGGGGTGGACTCACTTTTGTTGCCAGTGGTTTAGACATTAATGGCGGTGTGTTGAGTTATTTTGAGGGAACAGCAAATTTACATGTTATACAAGCTGTACACTGACTATGTCACATTGTAGCAAAGTGTCATTTCTTCAGTGTTGTCACATGAAAAGAGAGAATCAAATATTTACAAAAATGTGAGGGGTGGACTCACTTCTAGGAGATACTGTATATAATGGAAAATCTGACAAAGCTGGCAATACAGGTAAAGAGTGTCCATAGTTCTACAAATTGGGGGAATTGCAGATATTAAGCTCCTCTGAGTCAGTATTCTGTTGTCATTGGAGGTTTGTTTTTTGTTTTTTTGCAATACAGCCATAATTGTAAACGGTAGATAGATAGATAGATAAAATAGATAGATAGATAGATAGATATGGGAGGGATAGATAGATAGATAGATAGATATGGGAGGGATAGATAGATAGATAGATAGATAGATAGATAGATAGATAGATAGATAGATAGATAGATATGGGAGGGATAGATAGATAGATAAAAAGATATTCACAGGTAAATTAGAGTATTATTACTATGTTTCTTTGTCATTTTGGTTAGTCTTGATGCCTATGTCCCACATATCCCATCAACGTAAAGTTTGTTTTTCATTTAATAAAATGTCCTTCTCATACCTTCTTTCCTTTCTTTGCCTGTTGTTTCCATGCTTCCCCCCCCCGTCCTCTACACAAGTCGGCTCCTTCTAGATCTTGCAACCTTTCTTTTGGGCTCCTGTTGCAGCTCTGGGTACAGTGTTTGCTCCGTCCCGATCTCCTTTCTTTGAATGGTTCGGCCTCCTCTTCCTTTTCATACTTTATATCCTTTGTTATTTTCCGAGAGAGGAAACTCCACCAGGTCAGGACTCAGTTCCTGCCTCTGTCCGGAGTGATAAGAACAGATTGCAGTCATTGAGCAGAGGGGAGACCAGAGGGCTTAGAGGAGGCTATGAGGAACCAAGCAGAAGTCTGGGGGGACAAGGTATGTATTCGGGGTAGCATTATGAGAGCCGGACAACCTACAGCCCTCTAGCTGGTTATAAGAATGGCACTCCAAACTATTTTTTTGTGTAATAGAGGTTTTAATAACATCTTTGGGAAATTCTCAGGAAACAGCCTTAGCATTTTTCCTATATATTTATTACAAAAGAAGCCATTCCCAGCATACTAACCAACCCACCATCAGGCCATTGTGAAATCCCAACTTCTATAAAGTTACACAAACACCAATTTACATGTGCCTCAGCTACTCTCCCATTTTAGCTGTTGAGTGTGAAAGGTTTAGAACTCATGTCAAGTTGTTGTGGCTGTCCGATGGAAATTCTCTTTTTGTTCTGTTCACCATTTTTAGCAAAACACGGTGCTGAGAAAGTCAAACTTCAACAGGAAGTGCAGGGTAATGTCCCACCTGGGAACCTGTGCCTGTGACAAATATATAAAAAGGAATTTTCACCAATTTTAGAAACGTTTCCTCTCACTTCCTGTTGTGTCTTCCTTATATGATGTTTTGGTTATCTGTTAAGGTTCTAACTTGACTTATCAAAACCACTTTGGCTAAAATTTTTCTTTTTTCAGAACTCCGTCCTTCCTCTCCTGTATGGAAATCGCTTACTCTCATTTCCCATCACTATGTAAGCTTCTCACAATTTGCGTTTGAAGCTGCAGCAACTCAGATACAACCCTCCTTATTTCATGGCTGGGGAACGTCACCTAGCTCTTTCCTCTCTAGCTTGACTGTCCTTGGCCTGTCCCTTTCATTCATTGGATTTCAGTTCTTTTAATTATGGAGGCTCAGCATGACATGTAGGCATTACCTAGTTTGGTATGCATGCAGATACAGCCTGCCATATTCCAAGACTAGGTCGGTTTTGAACATCTCATTAGCCCGTAACCCCTGGGAGGCCCAGTTGAAAAAAACGATTCCGATCCTCGCTGCCAACCAAAGAAAATTGGTGAGATTTGGTTTTCCGGAAGCTTGGCAAACGTTGGCCAGGGCCTAGAGACAACCGCACCTCAATTTTGCCGAGGTCCAGCAACGACTAAAGGAGACCATGGTCCATGAGAAGCTCACTTCCATACTCGAAGACCTCCACACCAAACTTTTAAAGGCTTAGGACCCCTGGATATCTTATAAACACCCCCATCTGAATATAGACCAGACTTTGCTCTCAGTCTGACGAGTTTTGTCATGCCCCTTGACACCCAAGCTACTGGCCCACATGGGCTCCTTCCTTACCCCATACCTCCCCTTCCCCTCTCCTCCTCCCCTCACCCATCCCAGGCAAAATGCCCTCACATTCTTACTTCTTTTCCTTTTCAGCTTTTCTCTACTCCTTTGCACTTCCTGATCTTCCTTGCTCGCCCTCTTGTCTCAGTGCTTCTTCATGAAGGGTTTGACACATTCCCCCTTCCTACTTTTGAAGAGGTGCCCATGATTGATAACACGGAGCACTCCTCACCGGAATTATCAGTATCCTAATCTCTGGTACTAGACATGAGGTTTTTGTCTTCTTATAAGTCATGATGTCTGGTTCATGCTCGTGTACTAATGTATTTAAAGCAGCCCCCTAATGTATTTAAAGCAGAACTTCAGGGAAAACAATATTTTCCCATGCAGTGGGGCTCTACCTGCACTGCATGAGTTAACTGCTCATTTTGTCCAAGGGCGCACAGAAAGGCTATACATAACAGATCTTTCGATCCTCCGAAAAATAGCGCTCCCCCACGTCCAGCGGTGGACTGTTCCTACAATCCAGAGCAGGTCTATGGGCATGATGACATCAGGAACAGTCCATGCACAAGACTGCACGCA